CCTTGCTGAATAAAAGCATTCGTTTATTTTAAAGAAAAACAAGCTTACTGATCTCAAACTTTTGAAAAATAGTATTTCTTTATTTATTTTTTATATTTTTGGCCTGTAGTCATCACCACACTATTTGGAACCTCCCACCGATCAGGTTTTGAAGCTCTTGGTTTAGTGAAGAATGAGCTGTGGAATGATTTTAGAAAGTGTAAGGTACGGGTGCTGCTTGTTTAGGTGTTTGGGGTTTTCATGTGTAAAGAGGTAGGCGATAATGGCATGTTGCTTCTGCAATCAAATATGTTTATGCAGTTCATACGCGGCAAGTAAATAAACAAGTGAGGAATCCAGCAAGAAGAGAATCATTTTAATAAACTTCCTGTTGCTGAGATAGTGCGAGTAGCCATCTAACCCTGACACCACCTCCTCTTTGAACTCTTACAACCATGTCAACAATTGCCAGTTTCTGGTGCAATTTAAAAAAGCAGTCACTTTCTGGCACCAAAAAGCTAAAGGATTTTCGTAAATAATAATAATAATAATAAATACAAAAATAACAACAAAAATAGACCTACCTTCACATTTCGGACCCTCACCACTTTGTCTTCCACTTGTACAGCAAATCGTCCTCCATCAAGACTCTCTCTGCGGAACAAAAATAAACAGACTGATATTCAAGACACTGCACAGAGCAGTGCGAAGTAAACATTTACAGTACAATCATATTCATTATTTTTATAAACTAGTGCCTTATTAAAAGTTTGTGACTGTTAAAACAGGCTAAAGGCTCATTCAGGGCTGAACGTGTGAGAGTGTTATGTTCAGAATAACAAGTTAACAGGGTCAGAAATTAACCAAGGCTCGAGGGGAAACGGCCATTTAAAGTGTCAAATATGACCTAGTTATTTGAAATATGCAGGCAAAAAATGCTCGTGTCAAAAGTGACAGTACATTTACAATGTTGCAAACGATTTCGATTTCATCAAAGAATCCTGAAAAATAATTTTTATCAAGCGCTATGTGGCAAAATTCATTTCTTCACATACATTTTTCTCCAAGATAATAGAGTTCTTAATTGATATTTCACATTTTTGTTTTTCTATTGCATGGTTTGATTCGCTTGTGACTAACCATAAACCTTCTAAAATCCTCAGAGGCATGTTTATTTGGCTGTGATCATATCCAGACTGGATAGTGGAGTGAGAGGCCGGGGGTCTGGAGGATTCGTCTGCACGGCTCTGCTGCGCCGCATGAGAAGGTCAGATTCAAATGAAAACAGACCGCTGAAAACTCCTCCATGAGCCGCACAGCTGAGCTGAAGCAGGTGTGAGCGTGCAGGATATGTGTGTCAGTGTGTGTGAGAGCAGCGAGGACAGCTGTGCAATCTCTCCAGTATCGGGTTCCAGATAATACTGATGCAAGACAATGAAATCCAGTGTAGGAGCATGGCTGTGTACAAAACTCTGACAATGTGAGCAGGCTGGGAAAGGCCTTGTTTCCTAAACTTCATTCTGAAGTCTCATTTTTTCAGTGTTAAAATATGTTTTCCTGTCCGGTTTAATGCACACACACAACTAAAAGTAAGCAATATGTATGTAGACTTTCACACTGTGGCTATGAGGCACCTTCAATACATTGTCAACGTCAACTTCTGGCTCAACTAATGGTGTGAGTTTGGGGCGGGACTACCTGTCTGTTGTTGATGTCAGTTTTAAAGGCAGTATATTGTATGGCAGTTTAAAGGTTCTGTATATTTGCACCAAAGATTATCAAACATTAGTGAGAATCAAGATGTTCAGGTCCACTCTGGGTTATGTGCTAAGCATTCAAATTAAAAAAATTTAAATGATTAAAATACTTAAATTAAAATACTTCAAATATTTTTAATAATAATCATACTTTTTTATTTTTTACTTTTTTATTAGTATTAATAAAAATACTTTTTTACTTTTTTTATCATTATTAAACAACAACAATAATAATAATAATAATACAAAAAATAATACAAAAATTAGTGTTCAAGAAACATTTCTTCTTATTCTTAATGTTGAAAACATTTTTTTTGTGATCAAAAGTGACTGTAAAGACATTTATAATGTTATAAAATGGTTCCGATTTCAAATAAATGCTGTTCTTTTGAACTTTTTTTTAATTCATCAAAGAATAAAAAATATGTATCATGAAAAATGTGTATCATGTTTTCCCCAAAAATATTGTTTCCAACATAATAATTAGAAAAAATATTAATAATTATGTACCAATAATAATTGGCAAATAATTAAATTATGTATAAATTAATTATAAAAATTAAATGTATTTAAAAAAATGCTACATGCTTGAGGATGGGTTGACTCTGTTTGATTTTTAATAAGCAACCACCTATAGAAAACATAGAAGTACACTAAAAACTATTTTGGAACACCTCAGCAACCACACAGAAACACCCTAGCAACCACTCATCAGGAGTATCATGGCAGCAAGTTTTGCAAAGACAATTATACCTCCCTTTTTTTTCCAAAAAAGGGCTCAATATCAAGCTATTTTCCAGTTCTGTTTGGTGCTGATAATGCAGCAGATGTTACACACCTTTATGCAATGGACTCATCCACTGAATGCTGGGAGCTTGTTATGAAACTCTTAGCTTGTGTAGTTCCATGTGGGTCTGTTTCACTCTGCCAGTGATGAATGGAGGCCCTACCCACAACCACAACAGCCTGCTTCGCCTGTGTGTGTGTGTGTGTGTGTGTGTGTACTTTTGCCTAGAGACGGTGCATTTTATAACATAATCAATGGAAAGAAAAAAATAACTCTCGTTATGAGGAGAACAAACTTGGATTTCTGTGCTATTCCCACACAATTCCTGCCATCTGCAGCAATTAGTAATAGTTTGTTTCCAGCAAAAAAGTCAGAAAGAAGACATTATTTCAAGAATATGGCATTTGACAAAAGCACAAAGTGCATTAAGTCACATATTTATTATGCGCATACTCATAAAACCAACGGCTGCCTATTAAAAGGCCATCTTCATTTGAACAACAGAGACGGAAAGCCATGAAGTCGTCCTTTGTGATGCACACTTCAGGGAGATTCTTTAAATGTCAAGGCTAGCGGCTACGGCCAAACACACGCACACAGCTTTGTGTGTCATTCTGGGAGGAGTTTCTCTTACCCCCCTGTCCAGCACCCACATACTGGAGTAATTTGGCTAATGTTGGAGGGTGGGGCAGTGGGCTCTCATGGGGCACACTCTGTGTTCAGATAGCTGGATAACCCCCTTTTTAAAAAGTTAAAGCAAAACACATCCATTCGATTTTACTGATGCAACACGCATAGCATGTAATGCAATTCTGTAAAAATGACACAAACAAGATATTAAAAATATACAGTATCAGTACCTATGGGGGAAGGGGATTCAAGGAGATTTGGGAGATTATAGTACATTTACAGTGCACCAAACACAGCGTTGCTCAATACAACTTCACATGCAATGCTTATGCATTAACTGCATGTATGCAATGCTCATGCACTATATATTTAATGCATGCGTATGCATTTTTTTTTTAAATATGCTATCATTTATTTTTTATCTCTAGATTGACGTGTTAAAAGTAAAAATTACTTATATATTACATAATATAAATTTGCAATATGATGAGATGTGTAAAGAGCTCACGAAATAGTTTTATTGAATGGCAGCTTATTTGTTTCAGTTGGCTGTCAGCGCAGGTCTATTCCCAGACATAGCAACAGCACCGACAACTCAAGGCTGTTCATGAACTCCACATGACACTATTCAGTCGTTTTTATCATGTGCTTTTACAGTTAATTAATGCAATATAGAATTCGTTTAAGCTTATCGTACCTGGAGTTCAGCGGACGGACTCGAATCGCGACTTTCACGTTTGCCATTCGTTTGACACCGGGCGAGGGAAACGATGAATTGGAAGTTCAGCTGTCCGTTAGAGTCCATTTAAATCCCTCCAGAGCACTGACTTCTCCCGAGAAGAGTGAAGAAACCTATAACACGTTTGTCGGGTCATGCTACTGATTATCGGTTAGACAATCACAGAGCACATCATAAAGCCGCGGCCGCAGTTGAACTCAACGCTGGAACGTCCTGCCGTCTCTACTGCAGGGGAGGTTACGAATCCTACTATGGTAAAGGATAAGCTCATGAATATTAAGAAGGCAGCATGACGTCAGTTCCAACAGAACTTTTTGATTTGCTGAACGAATCAATCTTTGAATAAGGCGTGGCTCAAATATTAATTAGGACTTGTACTGGTCAGTCCGGGATAGCTGCGAAGCAACGTCAATGTCTTTAATATTCATGAGCCAAGCCATCGCCATAGTAGGAAACTTGAGAAAAAGAAACAAAGGCGAAGTGTTCGCCTGAAGTCTCTGCTTTATTACAATCCCCTGTACGCCAATTAGGACAGTTGTTTTTCCGCTTTAAAAGCATATCAAACTAATGCATACTTTAATTTAGCAAGGACGCGTTAAATTGGTTAAAAATGACAGACATTAGTTTAGACAAGTGCTTTATTTTTTAAAAGCAGTTCGTTATTAGCTTCCACAAAATTAATCAGCACAAATGTTTTTCAACATTGAAAAAAAAAAAAAAAGTTTCTTGAGCAGCAAATCAGCATATTAGAATGATTTCTGAGCATGTGACACTGAAAAGTGGAATGATGGGTGCCGAAAAGTCAGCTTTACCATCACAGGAGTAATTCTGTTTTTATGCAGGCAAACATGAATATTCCCTATAGAAATTTCCCTGATGTCTCCCTGATTTCCATTTTAAAATGGGCAATTCCCATGAAATTTGTCAGAAGTGCAGCCTTGCATATGGACTCCAGCTGAGCTACATGAAAGAACACGTGAGAGATACTAAATTACATTTTATTACATTAGATAGTTTAGCATTAAAAAGATGAAAACACTGTCCAACAGGAACAAATCGCAAACTTTCCGCAAATACATACTAAGAAACATACAAACAGACACACAAGCAGAAAAACATTTACACACGCTTAAAACAAATACATAGCACAGTGAATGGTCTTTATCCTGTTCTATTGTGAGGCAGTATAAGTGAAAACTGGCAAAGCCCTGCTAAAATGTCCCCACAAAATGTGTTTTAAAGGTTTATAAACTGTCAATAACAATCTTATCAACTCAGCATTCTTCAGCAGCAAATATTCTCCTTGCAACTAACAATAAATCAGACTTTAAAATATTTTTTTTAATCCTATATATTGTAGGTTTAAACATTCTTTCTTTTCTTCAAATATGCATCACTGCTGTTAATACAATAGTGTTTGGCTGGGATTCATGTGTACAGTTGGTAGTGTAGACTCGTGCATCCCCCTAGTGGTCATTGAGAGACCTGCAGTATGTCCCTGTGGTTTGGCAGGGAAGGCAATGGGAACTGGGTGGACAGAGAGAGCAGTTGAAACTTCTGTACAGACTCCTACAAGAGCAAATGAGAAAAGCTATCAGACAGTGATCTGTGAGAACTCCAGGATCAGAATGTAATGTTTTGCTATCTCTAAAACACATATGTAAAAAGCAATTACCTCTGGCCAAGATAACGCTGACAACTTTGGCCAGTTGGTGCCCACATCCTCCTCTCCTAAAAGACCCCTCTCTATTAGCCGTTTTATCAGGCACAGGTAGTCAGTCCTCTGTAATAGTAAAGGACAAAGCACTGTTTAATCACCAGTGTTGTTAAAACTATTAATTTTTTTTTGGTATCCTATTAAAAATATTTTTTGGTATAACAAATACTAAATATACAAAAACGTGAACTTGAATTAGAAATGTAACTAACTGAAACAAGATTAAGTACTAAAAATACTAAAACTGAAATAAAAATCTATATAGAAATAATTTTCAAAATTAATAAAAATGACAAAAGCACATTACAAATTTGCTAAAACTTAAGCTACAATGAAAGTGAACACTGAAAATATAAAGTCAATTTAAAATATTAAATATTCTAACAGTATATAAATAATACTAAAATAACACTTGAATCACAAAAATATAGAACAATATACCGACAAACTGCACACAGGATAGGACACAACAGGTCTGATCAGCAGTTTTACCTCACTATCTGTGGCACTAAATAGCAGTCAAAGTGGGTTCACTGAGGAGAAGGCGCAGAGGTGGAGAGGGAGTCCGAGCCCACAGAACTACAAACTTTTCCAGAAAAGCGGGTCTCTTGTTACCCTCGGCTGAGGACACTAGAGGCAGCTCCCCAGATACTACACATGTAAATAAATAAAAAAAAAAAAGCTACAAATGAAGTATAAGAGCATTTTCCATTTTAAAATTTCACTAAAATTAGGCTTCACTACTTGTTGTTGGAGGAGAACCAGCTGCAAGCCTTTTCTGTAGCCAAACGAGTTGTGATGCTCTCAGCAGTGGTCAAGACCTAAACCACACCACAAAATATTAAAGGGGTCATATGATGCGATTTCAATTTTTCCTTTCTCTTTGGAGTGTTACAAGCTCTTGGTGCATAAAGAAGATCTGTAAAGTTGCAAAGACTAAAATCTCAAATCCAAAGAGATATTCTTTATAAAAGTTAAGAGTCAGCCACACCTACCTAAAACGACTCGTTCTAACATGCCCCCACATACCTACGTCACTATCTGGGAAGATTTGCATAACGCCGCCCAAATGTTACTTAGGCGTAACTTTTATTCTCACTGTAGTATTGTTGTTGCCGCCGCTGCCATGTCATGAAGGCGCTGCGTTTCGTTGTGAAAGCGAAACTACTTTGTTTGGCCTTCCAAAAGAGGACGATATCTGCTTCGTCATGCCTGGAGCTGATCCGTGCTGGTTGTTGAGGAAATGCAACAACTTTGGATCGCCGGATGATCTTCTGATGAACTTTGATTGGATCGCCGGATCGGCTTTCACCATGGACGAAGCGGAGTCCAGCCCAGGGTCGTCACATGTGGCAAGCCTCCTTCGACGAATTCACCGGCCGCGCCGTTCTCAAGCCCGCCGCCTCTGCTCACTCTAGTCCTTCGGCAGTTCCTCACTCTAGCCCCCGGCCTCTGCTTACTCAAGGCCGCCGTGTGTGATGCTGTTTCGTTGTGAAAGCGAAACTACTTTGTTTGGCCTTCCAAAAATGGACACGACTAGAAATCAGTGGTTAAGTTGTATTTACAACACTGTTCCAGAACACTTCAACAAAAACTATCCGATCCGTGACTCAGAAAACATAATATGATCCGAACCGTGAGTTTTGTGATCCGTTGAACCACTAACACGTCATAATGCATTAAAAAAGCTGAAACAAACTATCAAATCATGCCTTGAAATAATTAAGTCATGTTTAGCCCGTGTTCAGCTGCTGCTTACCAAACTCAGACCTCTTTCTGTTAGCAGAAGTGGAAAAAAAAAAAAGTTACCCTTGCATTTACACCTGCTTTGACTTTAATAGTAGATTCAGATGGCTATTTAAGTGCATTTTGGGTACATTTTTTAATAAACTTTTATATTTTTGGACTTTTTAATAAACGATGGCATCGCATGGTGTACACACAAATTTCACCTTTTATGTATTTAATTAGACAGCTGTGTTCTGCAGTTTAGCAACAGGCCACATTTAAATATTTTTTGGACAATTTCAATTAATTAAGCCTCACTTAAAATGAGATCTCACCTGGAAGAGCCAGCCCAATACTGCCACTATGAGCAGCTGATTAATGTAACATAGCTCCTCTCCTCGACCCAGTACCATCCTCCTGAAACACACACTCATAGACATAATTAACAGCACAATCACAAACAGAGATCAGGTTTACATACAAACACAGTTGGTTATGTCTAAAGTGAAAGTAAACACAAAATAAGTTATTTTGAAGAATGTAGGTAACCAAACAGTTCCTGGTTCCCATTGACTGTGATAGTAGGGGGAAAAAATACCATGGAAGTCACTGGGGACCAGCAACTGTTTGGTTTAGGGTTGTGCCAATAGACGATAGTATGGTGTATCTATCGCCTGTGGCTGATGCCTTAATTTGACGATAGCAAGATTATTATTATTATTATCAGGCTAGTAATACTATCTAATTAATATTAGGGCTTATTTGTTGCATTATATTTCTTTCCCCGTGTTTTTACAGTATCGTGCACTCTAACCAATCACACACGATTATGCTGAGCTTATGAATGAAGCGGCCAATCAGAGGCGTTCAGGTGAGTCATCACTGAAACAGCGGAGTTCTGTTGTTCAGCGCGCGCTGACTGAAGTCTGACTCGCGAATTCTCTCATTATAAACAACAAAGTGCAGATGTACGTGCGATGTAAGTATAAGAAATTTATTAATCATATAGTGTAGATTCACTGAGTTTAACGGGAGTGTTTTTAAAGCGCATAAACTCGCGCTAGACTGAACTTGAGATGATGTTCTTTGGTAATGTAATGTTCTTTGCTAGTGTTCTGTAACAGTTAGCTGCTTTTTGAATAACTGAGGAAATGTAAGCATTATAATTAGTAACTTATGTTTCTATTAATTTGTTATCATGTTAAATACAAATTCAGTCATATTAAAAACATTAGGCTGCTTTTAGCCATATGCTGGATTTGGTTCACTTTCTCGCAATAAAACTAAGTAAATTACATAAATTAGCACGATAATATGAATAGGACGATATGAAAATTGAGCATATCGCTCAACACCAGTTTGGTTACCCACATTCTTCAAAATAACTTTTATATTCAACATAAGAAAGAAACTCATTCAGGTTTAAAACAACTTAAGAGTGAGTAAAGGATGACAGACGTTTTATTTTTGGGTGAACTATCCCTTTAAATGTTAATAAAACAACCAAACACAAAGAGAAAAATCACTCACTGCTCTTGACTGAATAACTTTATACATTGATTCTTATTAAAGCAACTGTATTAATTTATACAGTGAAGTGTATATACTGTTTATAGATTTCTTACATTCAATTTCTTGAATGCTACTGCTAAATACACCGGTACCTGAAAAATATGGCACTGTATGTTCTAGTTGTATATTATGTGTATCTGTAATATGTATTTTTGTTCTTATTTTTAATAACAAATATAAAATAATGACAAAGATTTTTATCTTTGCCCACTTTGGCCTAAATGTCTGCCATTCTTTTTTATTTAGATATTTTTTTACCTTGTAAAGCTTTGTTTTTAAAAAAGGGAAATTAGTTTGTCTGTGCTGCTCAGACAACTTGCAAAATAGTAAAACCAACATGACAAAGAATCGTGATTCCCGACGCGGTGTATGTGATAAACTCACTTGTAGATTTGAAGCAGAAGGCACAGAGCAGTCCTGTAACAAGGAAGAAATGGGCCGATGTAATCCAGCATGGACAGGAACTCCACCATCCAGGGCACTGTCAGAATGGTGCCTCTCCGATGCACTGAACTCCTCAATACCGCACACACATCCAGAATTCAATTTCTTGAATGCTACTGCTAAATACACCGGTACCTGAAAAATATGGCACTGTATGTTCTAGTTGTATATTATGTGTATCTGTAATATGTATTTTTGTTCTTATTTTTAATAACAAATAAAATAATGACAAAGATTTTTATCTTTGCCCACTTTGGCCTAAATGTCTGCCATTCTTTTTTATTTAGATATTTTTTTACCTTGTAAAGCTTTGTTTTTAAAAAAGGGAAATTAGTTTGTCTGTGCTGCTCAGACAACTTGCAAAATAGTAAAACCAACATGACAAAGAATCGTGATTCCCGACGCGGTGTATGTGATAAACTCACTTGTAGATTTGAAGCAGAAGGCACAGAGCAGTCCTGTAACAAGGAAGAAATGGGCCGATGTAATCCAGCATGGACAGGAACTCCACCATCCAGGGCACTGTCAGAATGGTGCCTCTCCGATGCACTGAACTCCTCAATACCGCACACACATCCAGCACTGGAGAACTCTGACAATACACATATATAAAACAAATTAGGTTGTGAAAAATGCATATCTTCTAGGCAAAATAAAATCTTGCCTTTATACAATGCGTACCTTGCTCCGCAGAGTGATCGCAGCATCCTGTATGTCTCTTGATGGCAGCTCAGAGGTCTGGTAAGGCAGGAAAGAGATGAAGCCCAAAAACTTGGCCAGAAGTCGAGCCGTGAGAAGCACAGAGGAGAAACGCTGCTTCTCATCCTAAAACGTGAGAGCTTGTGCCAGACGATCTCGGAGCGATGAGGAGAAAGTCCCAACTCTCTCATTCTCAGACAGAAGTCGATGTGTGCATTTGTCCAGGTGTGACACCAACCTGACAAACAGATAAGACAGAAAGTCAGGCACTATAAGACGGATCTGAGGCAGTGAGCAGTAATTAAACAATCAGACTTACTCAAACTGATTCTCCAACACCCTCACAGAAAAATACACACAGTTGTGGACATTTCCCAGGTAAACTTTCTCCAGCACATCTACAAGACCATAAATGAACAGCACACAGATCAAATTCGTCATCATAGTCCTTACTCAGTGTAGAATAACAGTGTAACTGATCATAAATGTTATAAAATGTAGCTTCCAGAACAGAATAATGTATGAGCAATGCATTTTTAAAGCTGTACTCTCCTGCTGACAGCAGGATTATGAAGCGACTCATTTTTATGACATTTCGTCAGCATGATTTAACATGTAAGTGCAGTCAAAAAGGTTTAACAGATTAAATCAACTTTAAATTACTGACATAGTGTACGATCAAACTCGCCTGGGCTGTATTCAGACACTGATTCCTTCCTCCAGATTCAAAGACAGACACACCACGAGATGTCAGGAGCTGCAGCACGAAGAATAGCTCCAGGAAGACACACGGAACCAGGTTCTTTAGAAGCAAAACACATTAAAATTTAAAATAGACTTCATGTTATTCTTATCCTTATGTAAATTATATTATACAGTTCGAAAGTTTAGGGTTGGTAAAAAAAAAAATCATCATGTTTTTCAAACAAGTCTCTTCTGCTCACCAAGGCTGCATTTATTTAAATGACAAATATAGGGGGAAAAAAATGTAATATGAAATATTACAATTTAAAAATGTTTTTATATATATATATATATATATATATATATACACATATACACACACACACACAGTCAATATGGGGTGCTGTGTGTACATTAATGAGGAAAAAAAATTAACTTAAATGATTTTAGCAAATGGCTGCAATATAACAAAGAGTGATAAATTTAAGGGGGTCTGAATACTTTCCGTACCCACTGTATGCATGTATGTATGTATATGTATATATATATATATATATATATATAGTTAAAAAGAACATTGTAAATGTCTTTACGGTCACATTTAATGTATCCCTTCTGAATAAAAACATTCACTTCTATAAAAAAAATATTGCTGAACCCAAAATTTTGACCGGTAGATGTATATTCCTTTCAGTCAATTTCAAGCATTACCATTCTGTCCGATTAAGTAATTAGACTGAATTATTTATTCTTAATGGGCAAGTTGCAAATTACCACATTGTTGTTTCCATAACTGATTTTCCCCCCCAAAAAAAGAAGCAAAGTTTGATCAACAGTAAAAAGATTAGGGCTGTATACAGCACCCTCTGGAGTAGGGCTGCACGATAAATCGCATGCGATATTTAACGCGCATTTTTTCAGTAAAGCCGGTTCTGTAATGTGCAGACTTTCACATGGAGCAGCATTTACTACACAGAGCCGTTGTTCACTGACAAGCTGCGCAAAACCATGATCATATTTTGCGCATGTTTTGCGCAGCTTGTCAGTGAACAACGGCTCTGTGTATTAAATGCTGCTCCATCTGAAAGCCCGCACGTGATGGAGATTTACCGCTGGTTACAGAACGGCTTTACTGACAAGATGTGCGTGAAATATCACATGGAGGACATTCACCTGAAATGCAGGTACAATACAGCTCCGCTAAGAGATCCAACTCTGATTTCTGTGTCCTATACTTTCCTAATGAAGTATATCCGAGTTAACAGCTTCTCAAATGAGAAAAAAAAGTGTAGAGCATGATTTGATTTTGTTCACTGAGAACTGACTAGATCATTTAAATATTTATAATAAATTTAATTTATTATAAACACTGCAAATATTCTATAAAAAGAATTGTACATTTAGATTTAATAGTGATTTTAAAAAAGCAATTTATACTTAAAAAAGACTTGAATATACCTCTACTATAGTGAACATGTTCATTTGTGATTAAAAGTAATTTAAAGGGGTCATATGATGCGATTTCAAGTTTTCCTTTCTGTTTGGAGTGTTACAAGCTCTTGGTGCATAAAGAAGATCTGTAAAGTTGCAAAGACTAAAGACTCAAATCCAAAGAGATATTTTTTATAAAAGTTAAGAGTCAGCCACGCCCCCCTAAAACGGCTCGTTCTAACACGCCCCCACATATCTACATCACTATGTGGAAATATTAGCAAAATGCAGCCCTAATGTGCACGCAAAGAAAGAAGGCGTGGTTTCAGGAACAGCAGTAGTGTTGATGCAGCCATGTCAGGGAGACGCTGTGTGTTTCAGTGCGAAAGCAAAAGCACTTTATTTGGCCTTCCGGAAGTAGATGCAATTAGGGATCATTGGTTAAGATTTATTTACAACAGAACAGCACAACTCAGATGTTCGAATTTTTTATCTAGAAGAGTACAAGGCTGGCTGTGCACAAAGGCTATTTCTAAAAAAAATAATAATAATAATAATTCAGACTTTGCTATGACAATCTAGCGCTTCTGAATCAGTGACGTAAGTATGTTTTGTTATTAGTTTAAGTATTTGCTATTGACTGTTCAAAAGCGGAGTTTTGCGCAGCGCAGAGTAATGCGTCGTGTGTGTGTGTGTGCTGTAAGTATGTTTTGTTATTAGTTTAAGTATTTGCTATTGACTGTTCAAATACGGAGTTTTGCGCAGCGCAGAGTAACGCGTTGTGTGTGTGTGAGGGGAACAGGGTCACATCACAGGAGAGTGAAATGCCTGTCAGAAATCATAGCATGTCAGCGGTCTTAACCGCGGCTTGTGTACTGCATCATCACTGTTGTCCTTTCGGGCTTGAACTGATGGTAAAACTAACGACATTATTAACTGTCTTGATATTTACTTTGAAAGCTGACCCTCGCGATTATGGTAAGGGGCGTTACATTTCCGACGCGTGCTTGTGGTGTTCGGCCAATCACAATGCACTGGGTCAGCTGGCCAATCAGAGCAGACTGCGCTTGTCAAAGGAGGGGGCTTTGTTGAAAACGACATGTTTGAGAGAGGCGGGGCATAGAGGACCTACAATAATGTACAATATTTGAAAAATAATGTGTTTTTTGAACATTAAAGCATGTCAACATATTCTGTTACACCAAATACACAAAATAATGATCTTTAAAATAGCATCATATGACCCCTTTAAAATAACTTTAATATTTTTAGATGACAACATAAAAATGTCAGGGTGATACAACTGTCATGATATTATGATGAGGAAAAATGTTATATTAAATATATATTAAATAAATGAAATACATATTTTGGCATATTTTTTCTATTATTTCAAATACATTTTTTTGTTTAACAGAACTGCTTCACTGCCTATTAACATTTGAAAAACTTAGAAATCATGCAAAAACATGCAGGAGACTAAAATATCATAAAGCAGGAAATTATATGATAGCAAGGACCTATGCAGATCCTCTTTACTGTGTGTAAGGGAGGTGAGCAAGGTTATTTAATTAATACTTAAAAAGTATATGTATATATATATAAATATATATTAAGAGCCCGACCGATATATCGTTCAGCCGATATTATCGGCCGATATGAGTCTGTCATAAATAGAATGAGGCATCAGTTTACTGCATCCAGTGACAACATCACTGATTACAATGGGTTCTATTCTACGAGCGGCACAGCTAAATACAATAGACTTCTATTGTATTTTGTCACGCCACGCGATGTGACCAATGTGATAAGCATGAGTTGTTTTTTGTTTTTTTTTTAAGTTCATATCGGCGGCATATTCGCCGTTCTGTTGCGGCGCAGACACGGTGTCTGCATAGTTCGTCAGTACAATCAGTACCGTAGCAGATTGAAAATTTAGTATCTTTTGAAAAGTTAGTATCTTTCTGCAGTCCAATCGATGAGGTGGTGGCTTCAGTCTGTTGTCCGTTGTCACCTAGTTGGAGAGACTCAATGCTCAGTAAATAAACAACAATGTCCTCGTCTTTTACTCTCACAATGAGCTTATCATATTAGTTTGTTACATTAGTAGGGCCCAATGATTTCCGCGATGCAGAAAACATGGACAGAATCCAGTCATAATAACAGAATTTACTGTATAACGCGGAATTTCATGGAATTTGTCTTATTTTTGATGAATAAATAAAAAACAGGTTAGTGAATATAGACCGTGTCTGAATATTAAACTGCAAAAAGACGATTTGAATACGAATGTTCTGCATGTTCATTTGATTACCAGAAAATACACAACACATTATTATTATTTATTCATTTTAGATGTTTACATTTGGAAAAGCTGTGCTTCATTCATAAACCTGCCCCTGTTGGTTTGGCAGTAGCTTGTTCTACAGTTACCTTGTTTAATTTCTTAATTCAAGTTATATATATTTTGTTCTATTTGTGTAATTTAGCCTAAGTTATTTATAATAAGTGAAGTAAAGTTTACTGTTAAGTGCACTGATGTCAGATTCATTTTGAATAATAAAGTTTATTGTTAAATTGTTAAATACCCTGCCTCCACTACATAGGCCTATGATATTATAAGTGTTTGATCACCATATTTGAGTTATCCTTGCAAAAAAATGTGTTTATGTATGTATATATATATATATATATATATATATATATATATATATATTCTTTACTCTGTTGTACTCCTTCTGTCATCACTTTGTGTAATATGTACGGCGAATGGTTTAAATGAGTCCGGTAAACCTTTCAATATCATCGCAATTAAAAGTCCATCACCATGCTCTTCGGCATTTCTTAGTGCTGTGATTGCGGGTTCTGCTCGAAAAATATAGTCAGTTACACTTTCATTTGCTGTTTTTTGCAGGGAGGTTAACTCTGTGTACAGGCTTATTATTCGCGGCTTTCCATTACCAGCGTAGTAGGCCCTCAAAATCCATAGAGCTTTCCTACCGTCGTCCACGGCATCTCTCATGACAAGAGACAGACTTTTGTCATCTATGTACTGAATAAGTTCAGCATATGCTTCCTCGTTTTTGTTGGCATCATCTTCATCACCACGCGCTGGGGGCTCTGATAACACTGTGTCTTTCAGTCCTAGTAAACGCATGTGGCCTAGCAATTTTGTTTCCCAAAGTTCGTAGTTCTTTTCATCTCCGTCGAAATACAGTCTATTCCAGGGGTTGTCAAAGTCTACATTCAAAGGTCCAAATCTAATTTTCATCAGTGTTAAAGGTCCGGACCGGAACAATTGGTTATTACAAAACTTGTTTTTAATAAACATAGACTACATAACATGCATATGTAACCCGTGTCTCAGGTTAGTGTAACTGATAACTAATTTAAGTAGTAAGGAATTAAAGCTGGGCTAATATCAGAACCTCTAGGTACGACTACGGAGCCTAAAATAGTAAAAGGTCAGCAGAGAACAGACAACACAAAACAGGTACATTTGAGAAATGTATTATACAAAATGAATGGCAGTTATTTACATTCCCTGCCTACCTAAGCTGGCTTCCTGAGTGCACAGCGCACAATAAACCCAAAATAAATAACCTCAAATAAAGAAAGAGTCCAAGAAAGTTCTTGGTGTGTGTGTGTCTTGGAGTAGGTATGTTCTTTTCACTACCCGGGTAGGTTTACGTGTGTTCTTATCTGTATTTCAAATGAAGGCATAGGATGATAATGGTTCCAAAGAACCAGGCTCTTGGTCCGTTCACTTCTGCGGTTGGCTCGCCACTGACCACCAGGGTCAGATTCAGATGGTCTATCCCTTTCTAAAACCAATCTATACATACAGTACAGAATGCATTAATTACAATTGCCTAATTTCTGTTCAAATCTAATCAACTTTTCTCCATTCAAATGTCAAATCAAATATAACCAATTGTAAAGGATATAAATACTCTAATCATTATGCAAATGAATAAGTACACATCACACCACATAACATAAGTCAGTTCCAATGAACAACAATCAATCAATCATGTACTTCCATCTCACAGTATAGAAATAAAATCATGAGATTTCTGAAACCAGATATGTATGTTTTTAACCTTTTAAATCTATTTATGCATCTTGATAACATTTTAAACATCACATTTTAATATATTTATTCTTTTAACAGCTAAGATGAACTTCTGCTCCTCATATACATATCAAACATGTATATTGGCAATTAAATGAACTAAATCACCCTTACTTTACATATGAAAACAAGAGGATAAATACTCCCTCAATCAAATGACTTTTAAGTCAACAAAACAGTATGAAGGCACCTTTAGCGGTGTGAATACTATCAAAGATCTGCTACAGTGGTGACTAGCTTAGCTAGCCTAAACAAACCAAATCAAATTTGCATTCAAATGTTAACGATTAGCACGCGGCTAGCGCGATTAGCGATATTTTATGAGCATCTCAAACAACATCAAACAATCTGAATCTGTGTCTATATGGTATCAAACAGCAAGAATCAGGTTCACAACTCCGATAGGTTTTAAAAGAACGGTATTTCACGCCATAATGGAGCTAGCACAATCAGCATAACACTCGCATTAGTATTAGCATCCTTCCCGGAGGTATCTTGAGAAGCTCGCTGTCATGCGGCTTAACCCTCTCTCTCACAGCTTTCAACCTAATGGACACACCATATTTCAATATTTGGTACGAGATTTTTCTTTGAATTTCTATCCTTCAGAGGAGATTTTTCATACCAGTCCTTGTTGCTTTCTAGTAGCGTCTTCACCGGAGGAAAGGCGTGTTTTATTTAATAGTAAATTCCCTGGGGTGTGCGCGCCACCCACAGGCATAGTAGAGAGTTGCACTCCAGTAACCTTGTGCGGGTTACACATAACAAATAAACATTCATTTTTTGAAAAAATAAAGTGCCCTTTGCATTCAATTAATTTAAGTGTCAGCAATAGAGGTCGACTGATAAGGGTTTTTCTCTGGCCGATGCCCATTTTTACATATCAGGCCAGCCATGGCCGATACATGATGCTGACTTTTTGGCCGATATGTTTGGCCGGTTTCCCCGGTAACGGCTGTATTCAAATAAGCACTGCGCTCACAATTGCTAGGAAACACGAAATTAAAATGAAATCAAAGCTTTTCTGAAAACGGTCGGTTCTTTTCAGTGATACATTCATATAAAAACACCCGCGCTGCATTTTAACCTCCTGAGACCCTGTGACCTCATATGAGGACATTCTATTTTGGTGTATTTCTCTGAGACTATACATGCCACAGTTTTAAGTCTGGATGTCCTGTACAGAGCACATTCAGGGCTTTTCAGAGATCTAAATGTTTGGATGTTTCACTATGACCACTCCCTCTCCTTGGTCTTCAAATATGTCTGATATTAATTTAGTGACACTCTTATGGAAATATGAGAATATTTTGTAATTATCATTTAAATCTAATTTTTAAACTGTCTGTCATAAATCAACATCTCAGGAAAATGTTATGGGGTTTCAAATCAAAATATAACTTTGTTACGAAACAGGATGTTGTTTTCATACATGTCCTCATATGAGGACACTGGGACTAAAAGCATGTTTATTAGCATTTTGGGAGACAACAAATGAATAGGGAAATAAATTATGATTCAATATTCTATGAAATATTATGAAAATCTTGTCAAATATTACTCCCATTATTACACTTCTTTTTTTCATTACATGTTGCCCCAAAAACACATTAATATGCAAATTAGATTTAGTTTATAGATAACTACACCCTTGCCTCGTTTACTATACGCTGATCTATGAATATGCAAATGAGTCCCGCCTCCACTCAGTCACACCAGCCAGCGCCTCCTGACCCACTGAACTGTAGTAAACGCAAAACAATGGCATACACGGCATCTTTTTACTAGCGGACAACTACAGTGAATGCTGTAACAGTCGTTAAAGTTACTTGATGTGTCCTAAAATGCCTTGAAGACTCGAATGCAGCCATTTGTGATTCTTAATTCGCGCCCGCGAGCATACATACGCGTGTGACATGCAGACGCAGCTGCGGGAGAGGTGTGTCTGACTCCGGGCTACTTTTACACTGTTGCCACGGGTTATAATGCAAGTTAGCGGTTCTAAATTCACATTAAACCACAGCCTCATGGGTTTTTTGCTCCGATTTATTTTTGGATTTGTGCTGGTATTGGTATTTTTGCATGCTACTGATAGGAATCGATCCCTTGCCGTGATTGGTTATTGGTTTGTGACGTAGCAAACCAAGGGCTGTTTCAAACCGTATTTCTGGGTCAGCCTTTGGGAAACTACAGTTTTAAGGAGAAAATACTCAATGGTGTCGATTAATACATTGGCACATGGTTTGTCTAAAGGCATATTAAAAACACCATATAGACAAATGAACAAACTCGATTTTCACTACAGGGGGACTTTAAGAGGTTACTTTTGAAACGTGCAGTGCTCAGTGTATTCAAGGAAGTAGAACCCTTTTGGAAAATATTTGTGGCAGTCAGTTTTGATTTTATGACAAGCCGCCACAAATAACTCCATGTACGGGAAACACTGGGCACTTCTGCAAGTCAAATGGCCATAATCTAAGTGATAAACAAATTACTCATAATAGCAGTGAAATGTCACCCGATTATGTCAAACGTCATAGGCTCACTGGATGTTTTGACACCAAGTGTCATGAAGGAAAAGTTACAATGTCTCGCCTTAGCGTTCCTTTTGGACAATCTCCAAAAAAAAAAAAAACAAAAAAAAAACCCCACACAAACTCTGTATTCTAATGAACCGGAACTGCCTTTATTTGCATACGTCCCTTTTTTTTGGAAGACCGGTCATATGACATGAGCAGTGTGAGGGTTCACCCAATACAAACTTTAACGAAGAGCAACTTTAAGCACTGATGCCAGAAAGCAGTTATGTGAGAAAACAGCCAAATGATACCAAAACACACCAACTCGTCAATAAAGCAAGTCTTTTTATTTGATGAGGAGGTGGGGTGGGGAGACAGAAAATCTTTCTAAACAGTTTGAGCAAACAGGGGAAAAATGCCATATGAATAAAGCACTGAACTGAAAAGATCTCCAGTAAGAGATATGCAAGAGTCCCATGACCATTTCAATGACCACATCGCCGACCATTTCTTTGACGACATCCCTGACCGTAGCCGCTTCCCTGGCCTTGGCCCTGTCCCTGGCCCTGGCCGCTCCCCTGGCCCTG